GTATCTCACCCTTTAGTAGGGTTTGGAGGAAGTGTTGTACACTCAGTGGGACGGGTGGATCTACCCATCCGTCTGGGTGAGAAGGGGGAGGGCCGTCACATGGTGGTTCGGTTCTTAGTTGTTGAAGAACTCTCGGCCTACAACATGATCTTGGGACGACCCACACTGAACAACTCTAAAGCTGTCATTATTTCCTCTCTTATGCTGCTCAAATTTGAGAGGGATGATGGAACAGTCGGCTCTCTAAGGAGAGATCAGAAGATGGCATGAGAGTGCTACCTATCTGATATTAAACCCACTGTAGCGGCTGCTGGCCCAAGTGGAGAGAACAATGACCTTGCACAAGTCAAGGAGGATGCGCCTGCCCAAGCAGCAGGCGCCAAGAAAAGAAAGGCCACCCAACTGGGGGCCGAGAGAAAAGAAAAAAGATAGCAATCACTGGAAGAGGAGTGGTCAGACGAATTCCGCCCTCAGCCGGCTTTTGAGCATACGGATGTCGTCCTGGATGACTCACGTCCTAACCGAACAGTCAAAGTTGGGACGACTGCTCTTGCGATACTGGGTGAAGATTTTCACCAACTCTTGAAGGAATTCAAGGATATCTTTGCATTTGAGGTACATGAGATGCCAGGCCTCAGTCCATACTTGGCAGTGCATAAACTAGCTGTGGATCCGAAAAGAAGCCGGTCCGGCAAAAGAAACGGAACCATGGTGAAGAAAGAAGTCAGGCGGTCGCCGCCGAGGTTAAAAATTTGCTTGATGCAGGGTTCATTCGGCAATGTTATTTCCCATACTGGGTTGCAAACGTTGTGTTAGTAAAGAAGCCGAATGGTACCTGGCGAATGTGTGTGGACTACACTGATTTGAACAAGGCGTGCCCCAAGGATAGCTATCCATTGCCTAAGATTGACAGCCTGGTCGACTCAACAGCCAGCCACGCTTTAATGAGCTTCATGGACGCCTACTCTGGCTTCCATCAAATTCCTTTGTGGAAGAAAGATCAGGAGAAGACAGCCTTCGTCACTGATTAAGGGTTGTATTGCTACACGGTCATGCCGTTTAGTTTGAAGAACGCCCCGGCCACCTTCCAAAGAATGATAAACACGGTCTTCTTTAACCAAATTGGAAGGAATGTCGGTCGAGGAATACATAGATGATATGATTATAAAGTCCAAGCTTCAGACGGACCATCTGGCTGACCTCCGAGAAACATTCACTACACTCAGGCGGCACCATGTCATGCTCAATCCCAAGAAATGTGTGTTTGGAGTTGAGTCTGGGAAGTTCCTCGGATTTCTCATTAATCAGAGAGGTATAGAGGCGAACCCTGAGAAAGTACAGGCGGTCATAGACATGCAGTCGCCTCGAACAGTCCGAGAGGTTCAGAAGTTAACAGGTTGTCTGGCGGCCCTAGGAATATTTCTCAGCCGGTCAGGCGACAAGTGCCTTTACTTTTTTCAGGCAATAAAGAAGAAAGTCAGGTTTGAATGGGGGCCGGATGTTGAGGCGGCCTTCCAAAAGCTAAAAGTCCATCTGCATTCCTTACCAAGGCTGGTCAGTCCCTTGCCCAAAGAAGTGCTTTACATGTATCTCGCAGTGTCTGACCATGCTCTAAGTGTCGTCCTCCTTGCTGAAAGAGACGGCTGCCAGCTCCTGGTTTACTTTGTCAGTCATGTATTGAAAAATGCCGAGTTGAGGTACCCCCTAGTGGAAAAATTCGGTCTTGCCCTATTCATGGCAGTTAGAAAATTGAAGCCTTACTTCTTGGCACATTCAGTCGTCATATACACAGATCAGCCAATCAAGCGGCCACTGACAACCATGGAGTCGTCAGGCCGAATGATCAAATGGGAGATAGAGATTCAGAGCCTTGAAATCACTTTGAGCCAAGAAAAGGGGCAAGCATTTGTTGATTTTATTGTGGAGATGCCTCGGCCCTTTGATTCTCAAATTCCAGACCATGTCTGGAAGGTCTATGTGGACGGGAGCTCCACTTTGAATGGTTATGGGGCAGGCGTCATATGTCAGTCGCTAGAAGGCGACAGGTACGAGTATGCTCTATGCTTTAACTTCCAAGCCTCGAACAACGAGGCAGAATATGAAGCTTTACTGGCCGGTATCCGCATGTGTAAGGCGGCTGGGGCAAGAAGAATAGACGTCTGCTCTGACTCACAATTGATAGTGAGTCAGTATAATGGCGAATACGAAGCAACCCATCCGGTCATGATTAAATATTTGTAGGCGGTACGACAAGCGGCCGGGTCACTTGAGGAGTTTCATCTAACTCAAGTACCAAGGTCCGAAAACAACCAGGCGGATTCTCTCTCAAAGTTAGCCTCCTCGGCCTCCTGTGATACTCCAAGAACCGTCTTCTAGTAAGTTATGGAGAAGAGAAGTATCGAAGAAGAGCCTATTGGAATCCTTGACAGAAGCTCAACTTGGATGGATGACATCCGAGCATATTTAACATCCGGCACCTTGCCGAATGATCACTCCCAGGCGGCTCTGCTAAAAAAACGGGCGGCCAGCTTCAAAATGTGCAAGGGTGAGCTCTTAAAGAAGGGTTATCTTCTGCCCCTCTTAAAGTGTGTGACCCTTGAAAGAGGACGAGAGGTCCTAGAAGACCTGCATTCAGGGTATTGTGCTTCGCATGTAGGCGGCAGGTCGCTTGCTCAACTAGCAAGGCGGCAAGGTTACTTTTTGGCCTACCTTAGAAGCAGACGCCATGGAGATGGTGAAAAAATGTGACAAGTGCCAAAGGTTTTGCAAGTTAATTCACCGTCCGGCTACTGATCTCACGGCCATCCATAGCCCACTACCGTTTGCTAAGTGGGGCATGGATATCCTAGGTCACTATACGCCTGCTGCAGGCGGCAGGAAGTATATACTTGTTGCAGTCGACTACTTCATCAAATGGGTAGAGTCAGAGGCTGTTAAGGGAATCAAGACGAAGGATGTGATCTCATTCATCTGGAAAAATGTCATCACTCGGTTCGGGGTGCCCATGTCTATGGTTTTTGATAATGGTCCCCAATTTGAGACGCCTGTTCTCAAAAATTGGCTAGGAGACCAAGGCATCTCACACTGCTTTGCATCAGTCGGTCGTCCTCAAGCAAACGGCCAAGTAGAAGCTTTCAATAAGATCATCTCAAACGGTCTTAAGAAGAAGATTAAACGAGCAGGCGGCCTATGGGCAAACGAACTACCACATGTTCTTTGGGCCATTAGGACGACTGAAAAAGGGTCGACTGGAGAAACTCAATTCCTCCTAACTTATGGGGCAGAAGTTGTTCTTCCAATTGAACACTACGAGCCGAATCTTCGAATAATGTTGTATGACGAAGAGGCGAACTGGGAGTCCATGTGCCTGGCATTGGACTCACTTCCAGAACAAAAGGGCAATGCAGCCCTGCGCCATGAAATCTACCGCCTGAGAATGACAAGGTCATATAACAAAAGAGTGCACATGCGTCCACTCAAAGTGGGGGACTTTGTACTAAGGAAAAATGGAAGCAGTCGGTAGGGCTAATGAGTCAGGCAAATTAACTCCCAACTGGGAAGGACCCTACCGAATCCATGAAGAGGTCCGGGACGGCACCTACCGCCTGGAAACACCAGACGGCCAACCCTTACCTCGAACCTGGAATGTAGATAATCTAAAGAAGTATTATTTTTGAATAATGTAAATAGCCAAAATCTACTAATAAAAGTTTGCTATTTTGCTTCATCTATTTTGAACTATGATGGGCATGCCGCCTGCTCCATTAGCAGCCGGCTACTCTCCATCTTCTCATCAATTGAGGGGCATGCTGACTGGTAAAACAGTCGGCTACTCTCCATTTCACTCAAATATGCATTCAATTAAGAGGGGCACGCCGCCTGTAGCTATACAGTCGGCTACCCTACTATACTTATTTCGCCATGAACTACCTAAGGCCTATGGCCGAATGATCAAACCAGGCGCCCAGCCAACTGATCCAATCTTTAAACTAATACGACCTGTCCCAACATCATAGCAGGCGTCCGGCAGCATCCCTCCGGATGAAATTCGTCGCAGAGAGCAGCTCCCTTTTGGGTGGAACATTGTTCTATAAACTAATTACACGACACCCAAACGACTACCCCAAGGACAACCACGTAGCCGTTTTTGAAACAAGGATAACTCTAACACTAAACCAAACAAGTGTTAGCAGTTAACATCCGCGTCGGATGACCGTCTGTATTACTTGGGATAAGTACAGTCGTTACCTCTTGAGTAAATAGCCAACAAAAATTGGTGAATCAAGGGGATCAGTTGGCCTCTTCCGCCTGGTACTTTTACTACTCAAGCATAAAAGCTGACGAGTAAGTCACTCTCTCATACTTATTAAGGATCCAAAAAGGTATGACGAGTCCGCTTGTCTAAAGGCGAACCAGAGCTCTCGTACCACGACCCTTACTAAGATGATTTCTTAGTAAACCAAACATGTTTGAAAATCTGGTTCGTAGGTCGACTACTTTTTGGCAAACAGGGACTCAAGAACTATTCCTGATTTAACAAACAGGTGGGCTGGTTATAAGCGGCTTGTGGATTCTTACTTGAAAAAGTTAAACAAACCTAACGTATTTCCTAAAATACGTTGGGGGTCCGACTGGGTAAATGGACGACTAATTGCCTAACCGGGAACCAAGACAACCAGTCGTCCAAGGGCATAAGCAGTCGGTACCTAGTACCTGTTCGCAATCTTTGGCTTACGATAAGTTACAAATTTTAAAACATTTTTAGCCGAAACAGTCGATATGACATACAAGCGGATAGTAGGATCCTCTATACTTTGCAAAAATAAAGCTTAAAGCAAAATTCTGTGAGCAAAGACGACCGAAAGATGGTCGCCGAATTCATATAAACAGCCGGCCATAAAGACCAGCAAAATATTCAATAACCCCGGCCCCCTGGCCGGGTAAAGTGATACAAGAACAAACGGCACGCAGGCCGGAGAAAGTTTGACAAAATGAAAGCTTTAAACATTGGGAGGAGTTTGAGTTTCAACTGCCGCCTGGTCGAGCTTAGCGTCGGGTGCTTGATTCTTCAAAGCCCCATCTTTTGACGACTCGCCTTCAGGGGCAGGAGCATTATGCGCATCCACCTCAATCGGTTGCAGGGCCACCTCCTCTTCCTCCTCTGAGCTGGAGTCAACCGCCTCGTCTTCCTCAGCCGCCTGCCTCATGATCTGTTAGTTGTACGTTTCAGTACAAGCGTTAAACTTTTTCTCCCAGGCGGCATAGTGAGCTTTTGGGAAGAGGGCTGTTCAGGTCATCTTCATAATCTGAGCCGAGTCCTCCATCATGGCTTGAGCTAAAGCCATCTTTTCAGCCTCGGCCTTCGCATTAAGATCTTTGGTGATGGCCGCCTCCTGCTTCTCCAAGCGCTCCTTGAGTGTGTCAAGAGACGTCTGCAGACCTTCAGCCTAATGGGCAATGTTTTAAAGGGGTCGCAGCTCATCTTTGAGGCTCTTGACTGCCTGCTGAAGCTCGTTTTTCTTCTTCTTGGCCGCCTCCAACTCAGCGCGGATAGTGGAAGTGGCCTGCGCCTGATAATAAAGAATATCAGTTGTCAAAATTTCATTTTGGGCAATTTGAAACATTGCCTTATCAACGTCAGAGGCGACCATAGCTTTAGCAGCCTTTACCTCTTTATTCTTGGCGCTAATTGGCCTACGGAGGCCGTGTACTCGCAGCAGGGTCTGAAAAAGAGAAAACCAGGCGTCAGACTTGAAAATAACCAAACGGTCACCAGGTTTGAAAATAACAGGCAGCAGACAAGGTTGATATTATAAAATTCTAAGTATACCTCAGATAGGAGACCCATGATGCCGTCTAAGTCAAGGGTGCCGACTCCCTTGACCGCATCCCTCTCCTCTAGAGGGATAGCCTTGATCATTGACTTGGCCATCTCGACCAAGTCTGGTTCTTGATGGCCGCCTGCATCCACAGAAGGAAAAGGTCAGAATAATGAAGAAAACATTGAAGAAAAAGTTTAAGTCTAGCAAACCTATATTATACCTCTTGGCGGCCGACTGTCCCTAAGGGCTTGTGATGGTTTACCCACACTTTGTGGGGTGATCGGTTGTTTGTCAGCCGACTGCTTCCTGGCAGATCCAGACGTACTCCCAGCAGTCATCTTCCGAACTTTTGAGTCCGGCTGTTGGGAGGAAGAGGGTTTGGAAGTGCCCGCCTACGAAAAAGATGAATGGTCAATTCTACTAATAGCAGACTTTCACGGCACAGTTTGAAAGATCAGAAACTCACTATGGGCGTCTCCTTGGCAAGAGATTCAGAAGAGGTTCGCTTCTGCTGCATGATGGAGGTCCGCATCAAGGCGACCGCCTTCTTTGACGCAGAAATGTGGTCCATAGCTTCAGCTGAAAATAAAACCGCAAAGAGTTAGAAAAAATTCGAAAGCAAGGCCAAAGATGTGTACATGCTCAAGAGGTCGGCTACCTCTGGAGGACCGACTGCTAAGGCCACTGGCGGCCAAAAAGTACTCGTCATAGAGCCATTGAAACTTTGGGACGCAGTTTAGGGGCACTTTCTCTCGTACCCCAGTAGTAGAGTTTACCCTAATCTCTACTTTGAAGAGTCCTCGATCAAGGATCTCTCCCCTAGCCTTGAGGGGGATAAGCGGCATGCTGCGACCGCCTGCTAGAAGTGGCGGATCCTTGTTCCACCTATTGTAGCGCTTGTTCAGTAGCTTGTTAGGGCTGGCAATGATGAGGAAGGTGTTTCTCCAATCCTTCCATTTATTTTCTTTGCCCCTCGTCATCAGATAGCCTTTGTGGCTCGTTATTTGATACCAGTCGGTACCGCTTGCTTTGGGGCTTCGGATGAGGTAATTCATATGGGTGAACGCCTCAAAATTCGGCTCCACCCCATGCATTTCACACCCGGCTACATAGCTAAGGATGTTGAACCAGGAATTCGGGGCTAACTGCCATAACCCCACCTCGTATCCATCGAGGATTTGTTGAACGACTGGATGCAAGGGAAATCGCAGACCAGCCTTAATGGCCGCCTCATAACAGCCAAAGCAGGCGTCCCCATAGCTGGCTCTAGCTGGCCAGGTGACGGCATCTTCAGCATCCGGCACAAAAACTTGGAAATTAGGACCCATCACATGGTCCAATACAAAAGAGTCTATTCGCTCTTTCATGGCCTTGATGTGGCCCTTTGGGACATGACAGTAATAAGGAGTATTCAACTCCCTATGAGAGGCGGATGGTTCCGACCAGTCGTCCCCCTTTTTAGCCGCATGAGACAGTCTCGCCTCATGCAAACGAGAATGCCTTTCCTCTGAGTTTATAGAGAGACGACTTGAAGAGCTAGAGTCAGACTCGCTATTAGAAGAGTCCGACTCCTCCCCTCTCCTTGAGGGGCCCGACCCCTCTTCTTCTTCAGGGGTCGTCTGCTGACTGGCCAGGTTAACAGTGAAGTGGGAAGGGGCTACCTTAGCTCCCTCCTCAGAGCTCTCGGCAGAAGGGCCACCTTGGGTCCCTGCGGTATCAGGCGACTGGTCTGAAAGTTCACTAATCTGAACTCGGAAAGAGGAGCCATCAGAGTTTTCAATCCTCTTTGTCTTTTTTGTTCTTGCCATACTGTCCTGCATAAATACAAAGACAGTTGGATTCCGGGACTTGCGCAAAGTTTGAAGTACCGCAGGACAGTCGGCACCCCTAGTCCTAGACTCGGCCGTCCTCGGTGACCGGCTGATTGCTAACCTAGGTCGTGCCGGATGCTTTTGAGGTCTCATTTTTAAAAAAGAAATAAAAAGTGCAAAAGCAAAACAGAAAAAGGATAAAGGAACAGACGGTTACCTGAAACTTAAGTTTTGAAAGAAAGCTTGATCGAACAGGCGTCCAACCAAAACAGGCGGTTGGTAAAAGCAGTTGTCCAAAAAGTCAGAGCTCAAGTTCAGGGGTCCGAGAGTTCTCTTGAAAAAGTTCGCAAATGTGAACAAAAGACTTGGTCAACATGCCCTTATATAGGGTAGAATGAGAATGCGAAGGGTCACTTCTGAATTCAAAAAATGAGCGGGAAAAATGCTCGGCCCGTCATAGAGCGACACCTGTAGCAGGCTGTCGCTTACAGGCCGACACCTGTCACAGGTGACATGTGAACAGTCACGTGCCACCTGTGAGGGGCAAATGATTAGGGGATTTTTCCCTACCAATCACCATCTGACAAATGAACCATTCAGGCTCTGCCAAGTATCCGCCACATGGACCAATTGGAGCCTGCCACGTGTCAAGTGTTGACTAGTCCACCTTGGACCTCTTATGCCACGACACGTGGCCTCCCCCATGCCAAATGGGAAAACCAGCCACCTAGGCCCAAAGTCTTGTGGAAGCCCAATCAGCCCTAGGTTGACCTAAACCTAGAACTGGCACACATCCCAAGGCATATAAATACCTTCATTAATCCTCATTAAAGAGGATTCAACAATTAATTACTCTCACCTAGAGAACCTAAACACACTGATCACTCCTCCCCTAGAGGAACCATATCTCCCAACCTTTACTTTTCCGCACTTATTACTCCTCAAACAAGTACTAACTTGACCGTCGGAGACGGAACTCCCACCACAAGGAGTCTCCGTTGTTTTGCAGGTACAGGCACAAGGAGACCAGTCCCGGAATTGTAACTCTCCTGCAGGACATCAAAAAACCCCAAAACAACCCCCAAAGGTCGGATTATTAAATAATAATCGAAAGGTCGGATTATTAAAAAAGAATGGGCTAAAGGTCGGATTATTGCCACTTTTTCCTATGGAGAATATATACTGTTGGGTTTTTTTAAAAAAAATTTATTATTTTTTTAAATATGGGCCTAATTTCACAAGTGAAATTGATTTAAACCGGGTACCCAGTGGATACCAGGTCCGAAATTTTAGGATCCGGTCCCGAAACCGATTATAACCGGATCCGACATTTTGGACCCGATCTCGAAATCGGTGAGACCAGTTCTGGGTTCAGACCCAGCGGGTCCTCTTCCGGGTCCGGTACCGGATACCCTGGTGTAGTGTTGTAAAAAACCGAACCGAACCGATTCAAACCGATCCGAATGAGAACCGAACCGGTTAAAAAACCGATTTTTTGAAACCGAAAACCGACCCGAATCGCATTTTAGTAAACCCGAAACCGAACCGATCCGAGTAACGTTAAACCGTTTAAGAGCCGAACCAAATCTAAACTGAACTGAAAGGAAATCGAACCGAAAATGAACCGAACCGTTTCTAACCCAAAACCGTTTGAACTGGCATAAAAATCGTTTACACCGAACCGTTAACAAACTGCAAACTGTTTGCACCGAACCGTTTATAAACCGAACTGCTTATAAACCAAACTGTTTATGAACCGATCGCTTATAAATCGAACCGTTTACAAACCACTTACAACAACTCATCAAATCATGATTATGACACTATTAACTAAATGATCATATATGAAGCAAATAATAATCTGATAGTAAAACAATAATACATTAATGCACTAAACTTTTATAATCTACTTTGTAATAAACTAGTAAGATCAGTATGGCTAAACTTGAAACATAACATGATATGTATTTATAAAATTAATGAGAATTTGCATATAATATGATAACTCAATATGAAGTGATGAAGTCTCGGCTTGATATAAAACTTGTTAACTAGCAAAAAGTTAGAAAGTAGTATAAAATTTCAAACCAAAATTGTTTAATTGCCCGAATCCAAACGACTCGATAAAAAACCGATTTTTTGAAATAAAAAACAGACCCGAACCGTGATTTAGTAAACCTAAAATAAAACCGATCCAAATAATGTTAAATCTTAGAAGAACCGCACCCGTAAACGAACCGAACCAGTTATAAACCGAACTAAAATAAAACTGAATAAAAAAAGAACCGAACCGTTTCTAACCCGAAACTGTTTGAACCGGGATAAGAACCGTTTACACCGAACCGTTAACAAACCGCAACCCGTTTGCACCGAATCGTTTACTACCCGGACCGTTTACAACCCGAACCGAATTTAAACCGGGATAAAAACCGTTTACACCGAACCGTTAACAAACCGCAACCCGTCTGCACTGAACCGTTTACTACCCGGACCGTTTACAACCCGAACCGAATTTAAACCGTTCAAGAATAAACCGAAACCGAATCGAACCGATAATTATTTAAACCGAACTGAAACCAACCCGTAAGACATTTGAACCGATTTCAAACCGAATCGAAACCGAACTGTGAAATCGTTTTGACAGTAATACCTGGGGAGCTAAACATCACATTCATAATGATTCACATAATTGTCCCTTTGTTTTTGTGGTGACATAATTGTCCTTTTGACATAAAGAAAAGATAAACTAACCCAACAAGTGAAAGCTAAAGCTGCGTCACACTCCATATTATACTCCTCTTTCTTGCTCATCCATCCTTTTTGTCCCTCTCTTCTCTCTCTTTCCTTCTCTTTGGAGGTTGACGCCATTGTCAAAGCTATAAACCATGGCCGCCGCTGCCAATTCCTTCCTAACTCCTACTCTCTCTCTTCGTCGAACAAGCTTGTTTCATCTCGCGCCTCAGATTTCTCGATTTGATGCTGACAACAATAAGAATTCCTTCATTTCGTCTAAATTTCTGCTTTCTGGATTATCTCTCTCCAAAGCACCGTAAGTTTTTTTATTATCGAATTGTTTTTTACAAGAAAATTAGCTAAATGGAAGCTTAAATTGCAGTGATATCTTTGTTTTTTTTTGGTTTCAATTTTCAATATCTGTCATTTGAGTGACAGTGTTTGTTTCAGTAATTGTTTATTGCGAATTTCTTGATATTAGGTTTTATTTATTTTTATCTATAATAATAATTGCAGAACAAATAATTGATTATTATTTTAGTTTTCAATTTTACTGATATATATCATGGTTGATCGCTTTTTTATATAGTTGATTAAGTTGTTTGCTTAGTTTTTTTATTTTTTTTTTCTCGGGTGCAGGGATGTAGTGCAGGCTTCTCCCGAGAGCACAAATGCTATTAGTTCGTTGGTAAGTTGCTGCTCCATTTTTTTTAATTGCCTTATCTTAAGAAATGTGGTTTTGTTGTTGGCATTTTCGCGGTATAATCAGAAGGGGAGGAATTCTATATTAATATGTTTTAACTTTTGATTGATCTCACACATGATGGGAGTGTTTGGTTGGGTGTAAAATGTTTTCGATGATTTTCTCTCGTTTTCATTTGTGTGAATAACAATTTTTCCAATGGCGGAAAATAACTTATTTTTAGATGAAAAACATATTTTTTTGAAAGGAAGTGAAGCTAGACATTCTTCTATTCCCTCTTCCTTACCTTTTTTTTTTTGTTACTCTTGCACTCCCATTCTCCTTTTCTTTTCAACTTTCATTGAAAATGTTTTTATTCAACCCAATTGAGCCAAACTGTAAAATCGCAAACTAAATTTGTGGTTTGGAGTTAGTGGTTTATCGTCAAATTGAATCAAAGGTGCTATTAAGTTTGTGTTTTCTTGGGTAACATTCTTTGTATGATGTTCATAATATAGACACACACTGTGTTCATCTTTTGATGTACTTTCTCTTCATTGTGTTCAATGAATCTTTTCCATGACTTAATTATAAATAAGATTTAAATGCATATTTGCTTCGCTCTTTAGTCAACAACCGATGCAAATAAATTTTGTTAAACCAATTTAAGTCTTTGTTTTGTTTGTTACCTATTTACTCTGACTCGAATTTGGGTGTCCTGTCCAACACTCTATTCCAAAATTTTAGCAGATACTTCGACACAGTCAAAAGAGTGTCTTGACCAATACCTTGGACACTGTCTAGACATCAATCACCTGATAGCTAAGTTAGGTTAAGAGTGTAAAAAATTGCTAGTGTGAGATGAGAAGGCAATAAAAATTGATTAAGATGATTGAAATAAAGCTTTAATTTGATTGCTTTTAGAAGTTACAACGTTATATGTTAGATTGGATGGTTTGTGCAAATGATTTGAGCCAGAGAAGTCAATCACTTGATAGCAAGAGGAGGAGAACTCGAGGAAGGGGACGAGGATGTGACCCTTCGGCACGGAAGGTGGTAGGGATGGCTCCGGCGAACAGGAACGGGAATGGGTGGGTGTGTGGGGCTAGTTCAGTTGGGGAGAGGGGGCTTTTTTAAAAAAAATTTTATTTTGTTTTTATTTTAATTATTAAAAGAACCAATTAAAGATTGACACTTGGCATAACACCCCTATAATCGATTACCAACTTAAAAGGGACTGTTTTGGGAAGATGGGGGTTAAAGGTGGGATTGTTTCCAGATTACTCAAAGGTAGAATTAGTTTAAGCAGAAGTGTCAAAGGTGGGATTATTCTTTTTCATTTTTCCATTTTATTTTGAAAGGAGGCTGACATTATCTTCCGATCTCCCCTCTTCCTTATCCTATTTTTTTGTTACTCTTGCACTCCCATTCTCCCTTTCTTTTCAATTTTCGTTGAAAATGTTTTTATTTAAACCAACTGCACCAAATTGTAAAATCGCAGACTAAATTTGTGGTTTGGAGTAACTCATTAAGTGGTTTATCGTCAAACTGAATCAAAGGTTCTATTAAGTTTGTGTTTTCT